AAGAAGATGAAGAAGAATGGGGTCTGGAGATACTCAGGGCTGGTGAACAGTTGGAAGGACGGGGGGCAGTGTTTCCCATTGTTTCCCCAATGGGAAGGTAGGTAATACCATATATAACGTGGTTGTACAACTACAAGGTTTAACTTATAAAATCAAATGCAAAAGGAAAACTTAGAGTTATGAGTCCATACCAAATGCTCACCGGCCACACACCTTGCGCTCCCCAGGCCTTCCAACCTAGCTGTTCCCGAGTTACGTCATCTGTAATAAACCTGAGGAAACTGTGGCCTGAGTTCTGTGAGGTCCTCCCTCAAATGAAGCCAACAGGAGGAGGGAGTCATGGGAGTCCGGTCTATGCAGAGCCCCTCAGAAGGTGACAACCTGGTCTTGGGACTGGAACCTGAAGAGTGGGGGAAGGGAGGCTTGTGGGACCCAGCCCTTAAGGCTGTGGAGCTGTCCCCACTCAGTGTCAGAGCTGGGGTCAACTGCAGGCCCCGGCTAGTGCCGCGGAACTGCCCGGAGTAGGAAACACCCCCACGTGTGGCCAGAAGAGTCAGCAATGTGAGTGTCATGGGTCACTCTTTCCAAGCGGGTGCTCAGCAGAGCTTCAGAGGTGAGAAAGGGCTGCTCTGGGAAGCACGGCTAAGGAGGGAATGCTCTCTAGTTACTTCTGTAGGAACTTCTGTCTCCAGAAAACAAGAGGTGCATAAAAAGGATGACGCCCTCAGCTTCCGTCAGACCGCAGGGCCGGCTCAGGCGCACTGACCAGGGTCTCACCCATGAGGATGAACTTGGGGTCTGGCCACACCTGCCACCTTCACCCACTCCCCCTTGTGCCCCTTCTCTGCTCTGCACCCCGTTCACGGGTCACATCCCTGCTACTAGGGGAGATGATGCCTTCAGGTGGCTCACACAGAGTGGCGGCTGTGTCTGGCCAGCTCCTGGTCACGTGAAGCTAGAGCGAGGAGACACTGGAATACAAGCGGATGGGCATGGCGGACGTCGGCACAGGGACGTGGGGACACGCCATCGCTTTACTGGGGCCGGGCATGGAAAACTCAGGGGGCAACGGGACATCTCTTTATTGGGCTATCTTTTTCTCTCACTTAAACAAGTGCAATGTGGCTTTCTCTGAATAGAGGTGGGTAAAAAGACAGAGCATATTAAGTGATATTAAATGAACAATTACATTTTATGGACCCTACATATCCACTAAGAGGGTTACAGACAACTTATAGATGTTTTTCTCCAGGATTATATTAAGATATCTGACTAAACTTGAAGAGTGTGAAGAAAACATCTGCAGTATCACAACCAATACACATTTGGCATGAATATTCATGGACTGTAAACTCTTGACTATTAACGTGTCCAGGTTCTGAATGCTTAATGTCAGAACACGTGGAGCACCGCAGGTATTTCTGACCCGTTTTCTTTGCTTCAGTTACTCTGATTTCCTTAAAGTGGTTTTCAGATAGAAAGGTGGAGTACACCCTGTCTTAGAAATTACTGTTTGATAATGTCAATTTTAAAAATAATGCTTATAAATACAGGTTATAAAACAGACAGAGTTGCAGTTTCTATAGTGTCATTTTTTTATCCTGAAATCTTGCGAATAATTACTCTGTATTTATCAATCAACTTGGTAAACACTAATTTTAAAAATATGTACATAATAATATATTTTTGGCTGGTTGGATTTCTCATGTCAATTATGCAATCAGGTTGTTTTCTGTTTACCAAATCTGTCAGTCTAAAAGAAGCTGCTAACACATTTTTTGCAACATATTAAGTTGTCCTAATAATTACCTCTGTCCATAGAGTTCCCCGCCATATGTACTAATGCATTTGGAAGTGAGGTATCTGATGACAGTGCTCAAACTTAAAAAATAACTTAAAAGACTATTACATAAATATTTCAATGAGAAAGGATTAATTAAGTCAATAAAATATTTAAAATTTTGAACTATACTTGTTAAGTGTCAATGCATATTTAATTAACAAATTAAATTTAGTAAATTAATAAACCACACAGTCTTCTTGACCATATTTTAACAATTATAACCCACTTTTTAAAAACTGAGACCTCTGTATAATTGTAAGTTACTGGCAAAATAAATAATGTCTTGAATTTCTCAAGTCACTTTCAGGCATATTCTTTCATTTATTTATTTTAAGGATATCATACTTTTAGTCCAGATTCTTTTCAGATAAGTTTGGACTATACTAATGCTACATAACAGAGTCTTATGTAAATTAACATATTAATATTTTCAGCATATTCATACAAATTAGTATAATATGTACTGTGAAGATTGACACCTTAAGATTTAGCATTCTTGAATCTTAATTGTCTGAATTGCTCAATTTTTAATAAAGAAGCCCAGAGGTTGTTCAAAGCATTGATGCTTTTGCCTGAGATTCTTCTGACGTCTATGGGGCTGGACCTTTGAAAGTAGTTTTCCAGTACACTTGCCCTGTATGCCAACCATAAATC